AGCGCAGCTACAGGGGGGTCAAAGTTTAATTATTTTTTTCTATTAATTGGAATATCTCGCGTACTTTTCAAGATATCATTCTGAAATTCGGTGTGGTCAATACTTTCTAGAAGATCATCATTTCAAGCATTTTAAAGATTTTCAAAAACGGTTCGTTTTTCGAAAAAACTTGAAGAGCAAAAAAAGCCTCCAAATTGAACGATCCACACAATTTGATCACTGAAAGATGCCAGAGGCGTACTACGAAAAAGTTTGTAGGGGATAAAGAAGCCTCTACCTCCAAAAACGTATCACCCTGTAGATTTTGAGAATCTTTGAAATGCTTGAAATGATGATCTTCCAGTGAGTATTGACCACACCAAATTTCGAAATGATATCTTGAAAAATAAGCGAGATATTTCAATTAATATAAAAAAATAATTGAACTTTGACCCCCTGAACGAGATCGGACTAATGTTTATATGAACTTTTTTGATTAAAATGATGAGATCTATCTCCCATTCCAGTTTGTGCCTTAAAACCTGAATCACCCCGTATATTTCATCAATCACTGCTTTTTATCTTGAAAGTGATGAGCTCCAATTCAAAACTTATTCAACGTGATTCATCCCGGATATAGGAAACATCCACTTTCTAGCCTCCATTAAATTTTATTTGCTATATCACATTCTCATGGACTGTGGAAACGTTCCATAGTTTTGTTCGTTTATCCTGAACAGGATCTACCGGATGAGCGATTGATTTTTTCTCGAAAAAATGGTGAATGATTCTCCGCCACCAAAATTTCAAATTGTTCCGTCACCAAAATTTCAAATGTATACAGTGTGGCCAGTGCTAATACGTTTTTAGTTTCAAATAGATTTTGATTACTCAAAATTTCAATTTGGATAGAAAATATTCCGGCATAAGAGATCCATAGCTTTCTTCTATGTGCTCTTCACTTTTTTTGTAAATACGAATATTTCACTTGAAGGAGCTGTGTGTTGAGGAAACATTTCGTATTAATATTGAGAGGTTTGTGGAATTCTTATCGTTTGTGAAGTTCTCAAAATTTATATTACCAATTTATTTAATAATAATTGGAACAACGCGTGATGACTTGCATAATATACCCAGATCAATCCAATGCAAGTTATATTGTTTGTTATTGTTTTAAGAGGTGATTATATTCATTATTGCAAAAAATATTTGTGATGATTTCAAAATAATGAATGACTGTATCAAATGATCGATCAATATAAAATATATATGGCGTAACTTGTGAATATAACCCAGTTATGAGATGTTAGTATTGGAATTCAGTTTTGAATTTACCAAATCAATTTTTGACACTACGTGTGACAACGTGGAGGTAGAAAACATTAAATGTATGTAAGAAGTGAAGAAAAATTACACATAACTCCGCGTCATGGTGGTGCAAATTCTGTCATATTACTGAATACACATTTCTTTTTACGTACAAACATTTAATAAAATCGATCTAAATCTATCTATACGACGACTATACGGCGACTAGTGGTCAGGATTTTTCAAAACTAAAGGAAAAAGAGTACCATAACCTTATTGTCATTCACCACCCGGTGTTCCTGGTATGATCTTTATAACATAGGTACTCAGTTTTTGAAGAGTTTTCAAATATTTTGATAGAATTTACTAGATTCCAGGAATCGATTTTCTAATCACCTCAGTGGTATCAAAGAGTTAATTCAAATTAGGTATAATTAAGTAGAACGAAATGAAAGTTTTGTAGACATCCTCGCCAAATTGACTTCAATTATTGATTAGATGAGGAAATGATCGGCTCCTCGATAATCATGTGTATATATGTACCTATAGATGAGTAATTATTCATAATCAGATATGGACATGCACCGATTTTCATGAAAAACACAGTAATTCAATGTTATTTGGAGTAAGAACCGATTCATTCTGATAATTTGGATCATGAAATCTAGAGAGATGTATAACTATATACAAATAAAAAAATAAACCGATATCTCAAGGACTGGTGTGGGTGAATGCGATTCGAGTAGATACATAGGGATACATAAAAAAAATCTGCCACTATTACCCCAACTATCTGGGGTAACGGTAGCCATCCATATCATTTCATTTATTCTGTGAAGAAAAATTTTCTTTTTTCAAATATTCAACAAATTTTCATGAACATGTCTATTTGTTCGCTCGTTTTTGTGATGAATTGCCATAAAATATCTACTCATAAAAAATGCTTATGGGGCAACCATTCCCCCGCTCTCCCCTATTTATTTCAATATATTTATACACCAGAGAAACATGAGTTGATTTTCTGACTTTATTCTAGATGTTTCTCAGGAACATTATACTCTTGCTGGCATACTATTCGACAATGGCAGCATCATTTCCGTTATCACAAAGCTCACAAAATATCAAGAAGCATACGGCGAGAGCCCAAAGGAATGTAGATTTTGGTATATTTCCACTTCCGAATTACAAATTGTGGACAGAAGATTTAACAAACATACAGTTTCCACCCCATGAATATTTTGAGGGAACCCAAGATTTCAGCAGTGGATTTGGTGAGTATTTTCATGATTTTACATAGGTACTATAAAAATTTTGTTCTGAAGAAATACTTCAAATTAACTTCAAAAAATACGAAATTACTGTAAATTAAACTCGAATTCATCATACGGTCAGTGCTGGACTGGCCCATCTCAGCAGAGTGAGATTTAGAAAAATTGGGCCCCCAATGAGTCGGGCTCTTTCTCTTGGATGTAGTCCAAGACAACCGTCATCTGATAACGAAATGACATATGTCCCATTCACTGTATGTTCTGTACTGGTCCATCGGATATACTCTTTCGACAGGGACGAAATATTCACGGAAATATTGACGCTCTGTCACTATCTTAGATCACTTTGAAAAACGGCACGTTGGGATATTCGCGAAGGGGAAATTATACCTTTTTGTTCGCTTTCTGTTTCAACTCGTTCTCACGTGATGGAAGTATATTAATAATAATAATAATAAAGGTCTCTATATATCATTTAGGAAAATGAATAATAACATATACAAATATTCATAATGAATCCAGATTGTCTGGATGAGAAGATAAATATAGATATACATACACAAAGAATTATTATACCAACCTCAAATGAATCTGTATAAAAAATGGCCTAGAAATAAAAAATAAAGTTATCCACGACTGTTGTATAAAATATTCATAATACATGTAATTCCTCAAGCAAAACGGTAGCCATTTTTCACACCAGTGAATAATAGCAGTGAATAACCATAATTCACCGGTCTGGGGTTCCTAAGGGTACGCGATATAACATATAAGGAACTTTCGATCAGTGAATAATGGTTATTCACCGCTATTATTGACTGGTGTGAAAATGGCTATCGTTTTGCTTGAGGAAGTCCAACAGTCGTGGACAAATAATTAATTCAAAAGGTATTTTCAATTTTTAGTTTTCTTAATGTCAAATGAGTCATGATGAAACAGTTGTTGAAAATGAATGTATATATAAAAAATAATAGTAGTCGTGGACAAAGTATAGTATTCTACTCACATATGATGAGCTATTATTCACTCAGGTTAATTATATATCATAATAGCCCTCATTATATGCTTGTTGAATAATATACTAGAATTATTAAACTATTGACGATCGAGTAGCCATTTAATTGTTTTCAATTCAAATGCACTAGTATTCAGACATATTTCAGTGATACTGTAAGAAGATGGTAAAGGTTTTGAGATCTACCATTCAATCGGTATCGGATGGCATAATTCTTATCTCTTTATTAATTCGCGAAATTAAGAGCAAATTATCGCACAGGTAAGTGCCATTTTTCAATAATTTTGCTCAGAATATTTTTATATTTGGGGCATATACTATCATTCCTTCATCAGATGACGCGATGCCATATTCATTATATTTATTTATTCATTCATTGAGTTTGGGTGACATGCATCATAATGAATGGTCACGTGCAAGTTCAGGATTACACTAGTATATCGTCGTCTAAGAGCAACACTATAGGACATCAACGAAATCTTCGTTCAGAGATAATTCGATTTCAAATTTCCATGATTACCTACTACAATCTCAAATATTTAATGAAATTGTGGACACTTTCTGAACTTCCGAGTATATAAAGAATGCTTCTGGAGAAGAATAATATCGACTTGTCCTACTGTTGACATTTTGTAGGATATCGAAGAGAATTTTGATTTGTATTATGCCACTCGCTACGCTCGTGACATAAACTTAACCTTCGTGGATAATAGCCCTCAATATATGCTTGTTGAATAATATACTATTTTTTTTAATTCCAGATTATGATCCACTTCTGATAAGTAGACGAGAGGATGCTGAACGAATCACGAAGTTTTTATATAGCAAGGAGCTATTCTTCTGCGACATTCCACATTTCCAACTCCTTTTGAGGAACCAGAATGAACGAAAATTGAATGGCTTGGCACCTCACCGTCTTGGTTCCATAAGAATACACTCGCCATTTGATATCAGTAACCAACGAATTTGATATAGGTAGATGGGTACTCAGATGAAGAACCCTTTTTTCTTCTCGTGATTGCTTTCTGTATGTACATAATATTCCGATTAGTGAAGATTTATAATAGTGTAGTTATTAGTATGCGAAATCATTTGGAATAGTGAATAAATAAATTCCAAATCAATACAGGGTGATTCATTATCTTCAGCGAAAAAATTAAGTGGGTGATGATAGATCTAGATAGAAAATACCAGTTTAGACATTGAAAGTGCATCGAATGCCGATATGTATAGTTCTTCCAGATATTTCAGGAATGATAAATGATAGATACTATTGCTTTCGCGATCATAGATCAAGTGGGGATTTACGGTAAGTTCCTAAATGTACTTGACACTGCTGTTTTGACGTTTTTTGTATATAAGAGTACGGACACTAGACAAGCAGTGACAATCAATCATAACGATTTCGAAGTAAATCATATGTTTTTCGCTCAGATAACGGTTCCTCGCATCTTCCTTCCTCCACAAGTCCTGGGAAGGGTACATCCATATATCTTTCTCTGTCTTTGATTTTTGTATGAGAGTGCATAGCGTCTCCTCGAGTGGGTTAAAGGGTACGATAAATTGATTAGAAAATTATTTCTTCTCGAAATATTGAATGATAAGGCTGAAGGACCTAAAGGATATAATGGTGGTCGATATCAAATTGGTATCTACATATATACTAACTAATTTTACAATTACTTCAAATTCGAATAAACCGATAGCGTTCTCCTTTGATTTCAATATCAATGTGAATCCTGCTTGTAATAGTAATAAATAAATAGAACTACATAGAAACTAGGTGATGAAATGGCCAGTAATGAACCTAACTCAAATTAAAGATTTTGATAGGTAAATTATATTTATTATCATTTATAAGTCTATCAGTCTCAAGAAAGAAATTGCAAAAACTAGATAAAATAAAAGATAATTCGTTTTCATTCTATCAGATGAGTTGCACAAGTCACCCTTGCAGAAGCACATCAGAACCCGCTTGTAGTTCCATTTGGTGTAGGCGCATCTATCCTCGCTGTCTGAAGGGCCTCTTTGAAAACAGAAACGTTGGGTTGCCACTCCATATTCTGAAAAAAAATTAGTAATTATAACTCTGAAAGAAACATCAATACCGCGGGTGTCCCGAAATTAGCCTGCCAAACGTCACCAGTGGCTTTTACGACCAAAAATAGAAAGAAAAATCTCAATGAACATGATTAGAGAAATGTCTCCTAAGTGAGCTACTGCCCCCTGAAAGGAGGCTCCTGAAGATGATATTTCTTGAGTATTTCCGAAACTCCATGTGATAAGAAGATGCAATTTGGTACAAGAACTACCTAACCTTCCTATGCTCAATGCAGTGAAAATGAAATCAATTCAAAATTTCAATCAGGAGTGTATAATACAGGGTGATACTACCTACAATATTGCTCTAAATTTTCAGTATACATATTTTTCGACAATTCAATCCTGGATTATGAAATTTTTCACCTTTTTTACAGATGTGTTATTATCGAGTAAAAGCAATTTAAAAATATCGTTACATCTCAGATATTATGCATAACATTACAATGAGGCGTATTGAAAATGTAAAAAAATGCACAAAAATTTAAGTAGTATTTTCATAATTTTTTTCTATTTTTCGCGCTTTTATGATATTGTTTGGTGAAAATAAAGTACTTTATTTTTTTATAGCCACTATGATTTGAAAATTGGCAACGTTATGCATAAGATGTGAGTGCATCAATATTTTTAAATCGATTTCACTCGAAAATGAACGGTGTGGATTTTCACAATCCGAATTTAAATTGTCAGAAACTATGCATACGAAAAAGTTTGAGCAATATTTAATGTAGTCCCAACCTGTATTATACACTCCTGAATGAAACTTTAGAATGATTTTATGTTCACCTCATTGGGCATGATAAGTTTAGTTCTCATACCAAATTGCATCATTTTATCACGTGGCGTTTCGGAAATATCATCTTCAGGAGCCCCCTCTCAGGGGGCCATAGCTCCCTTAGGGGACATTCCTCAACTCATATTCATTGAAACTTTATATCCACAACAATACCGCTGGTGATTTCAAGGTGGCTCACCCCTTTAACTTTTTTATTATTCAACCTTCGACACACACGTCGAATTGACGGTGCAGAAAAGTCTAAGAAATCTTGGGTTTATTATGAGGGCGACAAAATCCTTCCGAGACCCAGATGCTGTTGAATCGTTGTACAACTCCCTTGTAAGATCCTCCCTGGAGTATGCATCTGTCATCTGGAATCCCTTTTATAATAATCACTCCAATAGAATTGAAAATGTTCAGAGGAAATTTGTCCGACACCTGAATTTTCGTTTTAACCATGGAAAAATTTTCTCCTCATACAATGCTAATGCTAAACACTACAAAATTGAAAACCTTCAACTGAGGAGAAAATTTTTCGACATTCTTTTCATTTACAAAGTGGTCAACAATCTAATTGATTCTGAATTTTGCACCAATTCTCTCACTTTGAACTGTACTCCATATGCCGTGAGAAACAGACATCTCTTCACAACTGGACCTAGCTCTACTAACTCTCTACTGAATTCACCCTTACATAGGTGCATAAATTCTTATAATGCGATAGGAAACAATTCTCTTGTAGATATTTTCACCACGAAAATATTCAGGTTTAAAACCAAACTGAGGCAAATTATTCACTCTTGACTTCTTTTCACATAATCAGGTATTGTAACCTCAATTGTAACGACTCCTCTTCAAATAGCCAACTGAAATTCACCTTTTCCTATTTTTCTGTTCTTTATATTCCACTGTAGTATAATCAATCTCACTTATATAAACTTTAACTTTTCATAACCTTCGATTGTTAACTGATTGGGTCATTCGACCTGTTGAGTAGCCTGTAACCTATAAAAATAAAAATAAAATAAAATAAAAATAAAGATGGGAAAACAAAATTTGGGGACTGTGTATTCTAGATCAATTCAAATCTTTTGACGTATTTACTTGTCTTGTCTCACTTCTGGTTTGACGAGTAATGATCCCAACTTTCGATTTTTAAATGGTACACACTGTATATTTTCACTTGTTTCGATCGAGAATTGCATTCTAAATCCAACACTACCTTACTTGTCAATATTTGACAAGAGAAGTCATCGTTGGGTAATGATCCTGAAATATGCTGGAGCGAGAGATCTACCAAAAATGCACTCCATGACCAAGTGGGGTCATCTTCAGTGATATACACTGCTCGCCAACAGCCATGAAACCACCCCAATTTCCGGAAAATGATATTAGGAGTGAAAATAGGTTGAAAATCACTTCGGATTCGGAATCAAGACGTGCAGTTCACTAACTATTCATAGTTTCCCTAGAAAATTTTCAGTTCAGAAAAATTTAATTTTGTCTCATTTCTCATAGAAGCACCCCCGTATCTCACGTAATTATTGAGGTAGGGTTCCGAAATTTGCAGGAGGAAGGGAAAGTCCAAATATAAAGTCAATTACGTGAGATACGGGGGTGCTTCCGTGAAAAGTGCGACGAAATTTAATTTTTCAGAACTCAAAATTTTCCAGGAAAAATATGAGTAGTTTGTGAATTGGGCGTCCTGATTTCGAATCTGAAATGATTTTCGACCTATTTCGACTCCTAAAATATCATTTTCCGGAAATTGGAGAAGTTCCATTGCTGTTGGCGAGCAGTGTATATCACTGAAGATGACCCTCCTTGGTCATACAGTGCATTTTTGGTATATCTCTCGCTCCAGCATTAGAAGTGGGTCATACTGTAGAAGGCCATGGATAGTGTAAATCGCTTCACTCTTGATCAAATAACATGGTAAATACTACATTGAGGCTTATGACTTCGCAGTCATTTAGATAATCATTTAAAAGTTGCAAACAGGACGGCGCAATATCGAAACTTCTTTCTCTGTCACACTCATTGAGCTTATGGAAACTTCGAACGCGAATATCATCGTAATCGTTCGAAATATACCGTTTCATTTTAAAATCGAAAGTTGATGTGATTTCTAGGAAAACCGAAAGATGAAAAAAATATTCTCAAAAGTGAGAAAATGCGCTCTAGTGAGCATATTCGATGTTCCAAATTTCAGAAATATAGCTAGAAAAACAAAGGAGAAAAGGGAGGTATACCATGAGTCATTGTCTCCCGGTATCTTATATACAGGGTGGTTCAAAATAATATTGTCCAATATTCCTCTGTGACTGATATTCATAAATAAAATTACTATTCGTTTTACCAGATTTTTTTGAAATTTTCCATAAAATCACCCCCTACAACTCTCTTTTTCTTTCGAGAACCATTTCTGTGACTTGCAGATCTCCAGATCTTAGCCCTTTATAATTTCAAATTTGGGGTAGGTATGCAATGGTGATAATTTGAGACTTAGGATAATACTTACTTTCGAGAGTAGTGAACTCGAAGAAATCAGAAGTGCAACAAAATATATTGGAAGTAGAATGATAGAATGTTTGATTAAAAATAAAGGTCAGATTGAACAAATTGAAATCTGCATTAGAAGTTTGTTCTCTTCTGGTTCGTCAATAATAATTTGTCATGTGTGAATATAGTGATTTTCCTAACTCATGCGGAAAGACACTTTCCGCATGAGTTAGGAACAATATTTTTTCTACAAGCGTAGGAAATTGATTGATTTGTTCAATTAATTATTCATTCATATAAAAACCACTAACAATAAGAGAAATATTTTCTTTATCTACTGATTATTATAGTAATAGCTATTGTGAACTTACAGTTTGACGCATTATGTATAGGTTCACTGCGGAAGCCAGCAGGCCCATAAGATGTTTGGTCTGCATTAGAAGTTTGTTCTCTTCTGGTTCGTCAATAATAATTTGTCATGTGTGAAAATAGTAATTTTCCTAACTCATGCGGAAAGACACTTTCCGCATGAGTTAGGAACAATATTTTTTCTACAAGCGTAGGAAATTGATTGATTTGTTCAATTAATTATTCATTCATATAAAAACCACTAACAATAAGAGAAATATTTTCTTTATCTACTGATTATTATAGTAATAGCTATTGTGAACTTACAGTTTGACGCATTATGTATAGGTTCACTGCGGAAGCCAGCAGGCCCATGAGATGTTTGGTCTCTAAGTTTCAGATACTTCTAGGAAATGAGCCAAAAATACTTCTTCTTTATTCGGTATTTTCATTTCTTTATTGTTGCATCATTCAATAAAACGCGTATATAGCTTCTCATACCTTTCTTAAGACTTCTTTGGCAATAACGCATCTGTATCGCATCCCTATAGCTGGAAGTTCTTGATCACATTGTGGTAATTCCACTGAATCGAAAATGACAGTAACGCTGTGTCTGTCACTTCGACAATAACAAACTCATTTGAGGTTTGATTGGCATGACAACAATAATCGTTTCCCATCAGATCAATCCACATCTATAGGGGGATTTTTATAATAATCAATTTTTATTTTTCAATATTTCTTAATTTTTACAATATATAGTGCAATTTGATGGATGATTCTGAACATACATACTTAATACTGCAAAAAACAAACTCAAACTCTTTATATTCCATCACCTACCACTTATATTTTGCCATATCATCATATATCTTTGTTTTTCCCGCACGAGTGCGGATAAATGACACTTCCCAAACTAAATTGCGTACGGGATCTATGGTGCGGATATAGGATGAATCACGCACGCTTGTAAAAAAAAAATATGTGTCGTGGTCTCTCGGCAAGATAAGGCATTTATACAGTACGTCCCACTTTTCATGAATGCACCCTAATATCTCAGTTATCAATGATGCGATTTTCTCAAGATTTTTGTGGTATTTGTATGTTGGGAAATGAATATTTGGCATAGTGAATATTTTTATTCACTATTGGCGTGCGGTGTTGCGGGGGGCAAAAGAGGTATTTTTTTGTGAAATAGTTATTTATGCAACAAGTGCAAAAAGTGAATGTTTATTGCACTCGACGTGAAATTGTCCGGCGAGGCCGTTAGGACGAGTTGGACGACACGTCGAGTGCAATAAACAATTTTTGCACGAGTTGCATACAACATTTTTTCTATGTTCATGCAAAAAGTAAAAAATGATTTATTGAGGCGCGGCACTAGGTGTAGGAAAATGAAAGACGCAACTTGAATACTTTATTATTAATATCGATTTGCATTGAAACAGGAACTAATACGTTACCAACAATTTAACTCAATCTTTATTTGTACCCTCAATGTTGAAAGTGAATGAACAATTGGTGCAATTTTCAATATGGATATATGACGTTTCTATAACCACAGTGGCAATATGAAAAATGTTTGTCATGAGGACAGCACGTTGAAGTAGACTCGAAGTAGAATGACAGATGAGTGCAATAAAAACTTTATTGCACTAAGTGCAATAAAGAACTTCTTTTTCCACTAAATATAGTTCAATGAAGTGCTGCTTTTTGCATGAATGTAGAAAAAGAATATTAGGGCTCATTTGAGGTAAATTTTTTTATCAGATTCAGAATCAGCATCCCCAAAAATCTCGTTATTCATATTCTCGAAAATCTCAAGAGCTGATTTTAGCAGAAAAATATATGTTAGAATTCCTTTTTTCATGAATATACACACCATAATATCTCAGTTATTGATGATACGATTTTCTTGAGATTTTGGTGGTGATTGTATGTTCGAACAATGGAGTATTTGGCATAGTGAAGATTTTTATTCACCACTCATCAACAACAGATCTTGCTGATACTAATATTACTGTAAACCAGACAGAAAATATCAAATATCCGGGTATATATATCGATACCCACCTTAAATGGAATAAGCATCTCGATTATGTCACTAGAAAGATAAGAAGGATCATACAAAAATTCAGATATGTTTCTCAATACTTAGGATTGGAACATCTCAAAACCCTTTATTATGCATTAGTAGAAACACATCTTTCGTATGGAATTTTAGCATGGGGGAGGGGTGTTTGAATGTACACTTACAACACCTGAAAAGTATACAAAAATACATACTCAAAATTATTTCCAAGAAGAAACGAACTTACCATACGAATTCATATTATACTCTTTGATTATGAATTGAACGGATGATTATTGGAACGACCCATCTCGAATTCCAATAATTTCGAATAAAGCACATTATTGAGGTATGTACCATAAAATGGTGTATCATTTATTTAACCTATCCTTTATTAATTAGAGAATAACTAGCATCTACACATAATTTCAAATAAAACTGAGTGACTTTTGCCAAAAAGATATGAGGTGCTTCATTTTTGACAGAACAATTATCACTCATTAATTCCATCAAGCAAATAGGACCGAACAAAATTATCACTTATAATATCACGAGAGCTTCAATTATTTCCGGAAATTTTTTCGAGAACACGAATTTTCTAAATATTCGTGTTCGAGAAAAAATTCCCGGATATTAATTGAAGCTAAAGTGGTATTCGGTGAGAAAATTTACATGTTGATGGTTGTTTGTGATGAAATGTAAGAACTAACGTATAGTAACAACATGTGTTTTTGTAAATTTCGAATTTGCAAGTATACCTATTACATAATATTATATCGTAAACTGTTGATAAATTATTGACGTTTATAGGTTGAATGACATTTACATTCAACTCCAGATTATTTCGATTTCATTCTATAAGTCAATAAATAGAAAATTTCCAGTGTAATTTCATGAACCGTCCCCCAAGGAGGAGGAACAAATTTCGAAGAAATTTGTTTAGTTGCTATGGTAACGATACAAAATACAAGCTTTAAATTGATCGAAAATGTTTGGTGTGAAATTTTCGCGATAGTCACCCGTTGCAATAAGCAACGTAATCAAAAAGTATAGCCTTCTACACTCAGAGAAATAGTCGGTAGTGAATATCAAAAGTTTAGTAAAAGAAGCGCCAGTCATTACAGTCATCAAATAATGCCACGAAATAATTGTATCCTATACTATACTATAAGTATCATACTATTTTGAAGTGGTAAGATCTGATATAGTATAGTAATATACAATTTTGTAGTGGTATGATTAGATGAATGTAGTGACTGGTGCCTATTTCACTAAACGTCTGGTATTTACTACCGACTCTTTTTTCCATTGTAATTGATAGAAAATAAAATTATGAAATTTTCGGACACATCTGTTCCTTGGTTTTCCAGAAAAGTCTAATCAACACTCATCGTGAAAAACCCTGATGTATTTCCGCTATGCCTACCTATTAGCAAAACCTACCTTCCTTCGAAGATTCTTCACTCTCCACAATTTTTCCGCACCATCCCGATGCACATGGAACTGCTTCTACTCCAATCTCCAACTTCTTCTCCACCAGCGTTATGTTCGGGTTGAAATTGTCTTTGCAGCTGCCAAGTTCTCCACGTGATCTGCACATGAAACACCTTTGTAATCGTGATCTGGTGACATTTTTATCTGAAGCACCTGCAGGTATGGATAATTCAATAATCATTATTACATATAGACCAGGAGATGGCGACAGGTGACGTTTTACACTGCATGCCTTTTTAAGGCTTTATAATTTAGCTCAAAATATGAACAATAGACAGGTTCCTGGCCGCCGCACGTGTGCACTTCATAAGGAAAAGCACTTTTCTTTTTGTGAAGAATTTTCGTGTTTTTCCGCGATATTATACTGATATATACAGGGTGTATCTAAATAACGCCGAGAAAATTCAAGGGGTGATTCCATGTGATATTCTAGCAAATAAAGTTCATATAAACATGTGTCCTAACTTGCTCCGTTTTTGAGATACAGGATGTTGAAGTTAGAAGTATCAATCGTTTTCATTTCTAACCTCCCTGTATAGGCTTTCATGGTCCCAAAATGGTTGGAGACTGAGGAAGCCCCAAAATTTCAAAATGATTGTAATTGGGGTTATTGAGTAATCTCAATGGAAGTTTTGAAAACACCTACCTAAATTGAAGTCAAATCGAATTTTCATTGTTTCCTCAAAAACTAAGCTAGATACAAAAATCACCCATGGGATATAAAAGTTGTTTTTCAAATAGTTCAATCTATTAAAAAAATGAAACTCGAAAAAACCGGTGGCGTACAATGACATTCACCATAAATATCGATAAATTTACCCACTGTGACGCCACTGGAAATATTATTTCGAATCTAATTGCACCAGAAGAAGCTCCATATTAATATTAAAAAACCACAACATTTTATTGAAATTGATGGAAAGACAATTGAGTAATGAATAAAAAACGATCTTTCATGGGAATATATATATACAGGGTGCCCGTTTTTCGAGCTCCACCATGGGGATCTCAGTTATTATGAGAGATACGAAGTCGGTTAAATTAGGGCAAAGTTGCGCATTTTGATGCTGAACAATTTTCTGAAAAAAAATTTGATGTCATTTTTAGTTTTTGAATTATTGGAAAAAAACGGAAATTTGTAATTTTCGTTTTTATTTTTTCAAGCGAAAACCAAAATGCCTAGATGTTTTTGACTGGGACATTCTTTAGACACTTTTTCACAAGGAATCTAAATCTGTCATCGTAATTTCCATAACGTTCTTGATGCCCAATTTACAACACTCAACTTTTTTTTTTCTTATGGGCGCCATATTGGATTTTCGCATTTTTGAAAAGCCTTTTCTTACCTGATTACAATGATGTCTCACACGATATGATTGAATCCTACGTTCTTGCCAAAGCACTCTTCGCCAAAATGTTTTTTTCCAGTTTTGATCAGCATGTAGGATTCAATCATATCGTGCGATACATCATTGTAATCAGGTAAAAGAAGGCTTTTGGTGGTGTAGAATTCTGACTGAAACTGATGATTCTACACCACCCTGTATTTGTTTCAATTAAATACTAGTAAATAGTAAATCAAAAGTTAAGATCTGGACATGTAATCCGTTTTGACCAATAATGAATAGTTTTGACACAAAAAATTCCCAGAAATGAAAAATCTCGATTTTCCACACCCTATATCTCGGAAATCATTCCCGCTAGACCCCAAGTGTGCTAGGTCGTTGAACTCAGCTCATCAAGGAGAATATGAAAATGCAATGAAATACAGGGTGTTCCATTTGAAAAAATTGATGTTCGATTTTGTGAGCCTTTCTTGCGCCCCTCGTATAAAATATAGTCATTCCTGAAGTTAGCACTCATAATGCGATATGATGTGGAATCATAATATTTTGAAAATTCCTATTGGTTCAGGAGATATTCAACTGTCCCACTGGTCTAGGGACACCCTGTATATGTTTTTTACACATTTTTTACGATTATGTTGAAACTTCTGGCAACATTGTGATGAAATTGTGTATGGATGTTTCTTGGAATCTGACACATCGCATGCAATTGTTTTTATATCTGACTCTCATAGAGGGCACTAGTACCAAGTAGTTTTGAACATAACTTTTTTGAGGTTAGATTTTTCAATCCAAATTTGATGTAAACTTGAACATCATTCAATTTCACACCAAAAAGGTACACTTGGTAAAACTCGATACTGTGTTCCGCTTTCGGAATATTTCGATTTGAAAATGATGAAGAGGTAACTGTTGCTGGTATAAAGCTATGTATTAGAGTGAGTATTATGAAAAATTATCACCTATACATTGAAAACCGAAAATTAACAATACATTTCTGATGCTTAACTTATTGATTTAACAATGAATCACAAGAATAACATCGAAACAGATTTGACTATAAGAACATGGATTACAGTTTTGTTGTATCTTGGGCAGAAAGTCTATGCTACATAGGTAAATTCACGTCAAGAGTTGTGAGGCATAATTGAACATCACTCAAATGACCTAACAGCTGATTCTCAACTGTTCAGAAGAATAATACATTCTTAAAAAAATAATATAGAATCGTGTATTCTTCGAAACGTAGGGCATTTTGAACACTTACTCTAACTGATTCAATATTTCATGTTTCTAGTCAAATATCTCTTAATTTTCTACTTATGATTTTTTGTTCCATCAATAACATTAGCACAAGAATAATTTTATTGTTTTCGAACCTGAATAAATAGGTAATTGAACTCAATAAAATTCATTTAATACCAGCATCATTACTACTCCATTATTTTCAAATCGAAATATTCCGAAAACGGAACATATAGTATCGAGTTTCACCAGGAGTACCTTTTTGGTGTAAAATTGAATGATGTTCAAGTTCATATCATATTTGGATTGAGAAATCTAACCTCAAAAAAGTTATGTTCAAAACTACTCGGTACGAACCGTGTAACTAGCTTCCTATAAGAGAATCAGATATAAAAACAAATTCATGCGATGTGTCAGATTTCAAGAAACATCCATACAAAATTTCATTACAATGTTGCCATTAGTTTCGGAATAATCGTGAAAAATGTGTAAAAAAATAATTTTTTCAACACCTTGTATCATGAAAACAGATACCGTTACGACCTTTTTTTCACTGAGCAAACCCAACTTATTTTGCAATGTTCTATACCTACCCTAGCAAGGAGGTTAGGTTTTTTTAAACCCTGTATTATCAAAAAACTGAATATTTTTTAAAACTTCATCACCCTGTATCTCGAAAGTTAAGTCTTTTAGGACATACGTTCATATGAAATTTCCTTCTTAAAATGGGTCAAATAATCACCCCCTCGAATATTAGCATGTCTTTAAGGAATACCCTGTATAAATCGCCCAACAGAATTCCGTATTATGGATAAATCAATAACTTATTGATTTCTTTGAATTACTCAAAACATGTTGATGCTTTCATCTGAAATTCTATGATCTACGATCATCACATACGAAATAAAGAATGAAATACTCCAATAACTCAAGTAATTCAGGGAAATTACGAATTGGATTCAAGAGAGTTCAATGATCGCACAGACCAGTAACCATCGAAATAAAGAAAAAATAAATCTCCACTCACCGCTACTTAAAACTACAAAGCACAGGGTTAGGAGTCCTATAACGTTCAGAATTAGGTTTTTGACGTCCATTATAGAAACAATATGGTCGAATACATTTCACATTTATGTTCTACTAGCATTGTGACTTGTGACTAAACGATTCTAGTCACTTTCACTTCTCTGTGATGTAGAAAATCGACCTCCAGTAGGTGTGAGTAATTTTATTGTGGACATACCAATATACTTACTCGAAGAAATCCAAGTGTACGACGTTCGAAGAGGGGACTGATGGAGTGGAGGAATACAGAGTGTTCAGAAAATAAAGTTCGGCGCATATCAGAGCTGATGAAGTAAATCCGTCATTTTTATCCAATTTCAAGAATGAAAAAAAAATTCTGTATATAGATTCTTGGAATTTCAGCTCCTCTTTTCTATATACAGGATGTTATCGAAATTGAGTCATTCAGTATCAGTAGTAAACAAAACATTTTTTTGTAACCATCGCAGGCATACTGAGCAAAATAATAAGTCAGGGTCGAATTGAAGATTTTCAGTTCAGAATTCTACGAGCAAAATAAATGACACAACTTTGAGAACAACCTGAATATATAGAAATAACACTTTTATCTCAATATATTTTCAGTAAGTACCTAAGGGTAAATCATATGATTTGCACGAAAAGATCACTGATTTTAAATTTTCACTATATTAGTAACCTCAGAGAAATTCAATCGATAGTCAGTAAATATATAAAACGTGTGGTTAATGTCAAAGTCAAAAATCTCAAAATTTTGCCAGATAGCCCTGAAGGCTGTGGCCTATTTTATCAAAAATATTCGGAAAAAATGATGTAGAATATTATTTTGAACAAATAGAAAAGTTATCGGAAGACTTAAGCACACTTACGTTTTTTTACTATCAATGTGGAACGTTACGACCAATTCTTACATTCACTGAGAAGAAGATATCGTTGGAAGAGGCCAAATGACACGAAAAAAGAAGTATATTTATTAGTCCTACCAATAGTCCAATCAAATGGTATTTTCACTTGGAAAAAAATCAAGTAGTCGGTTTTTCTGCGGTTCCATAGGTTTTTGGAGGTGCTGAATTCTAATCTGAATTTTGCAAACAAAAGAGCCAGTTGAAAATTGACCAAATTTGCGTACTTTTCAAAGAATAGTGTTTTTCGTCGGTTTTCGCGGATATACTGCCTGATGTAGAAGAGTCCTAGCCATGTGAATTCTTACCTCTGTCAGCATGTATAGCTCATGACTCTCGACTAGCCACTGTACTTAAGTATATTCAAATCAACTAGGAAGAATATTGTTTTTTCTACTACTGCTATGAAAAGTAGCGCATTTCTCATAGCTTTCTTAGTTTCAAAACCATGTATTGCTCATACTGTGAGAAATATTTCTTCTCACGGCACTTTACCAACACCACATACATTTCCATAGAGAATCAACAAAAATCGACCAAAACTTAGTTGGCTGGTGTTCAGCTTTGAATAGTTGTCACAACTGTCAGAAGAAGTTTTTTAAATTCTTACGGGTAGTTCTCATCAGTGCTTTTGATAGAAATCGCAGTTTCCATCGAATATTATTCCTACAATTCATAATAAATAATATGTTTATACCGAGATGTGACGATTTTGATAAATACACCGCCAGAGACCTTAATGGAAAAAGCTGCGAAAATTGGATTCGTTTCCGGAAATTTCAATAAAAAAGTATGGATTGGCATATTATACGAAATATTCATGGAATCTAAAATAAATACAGAAATCATATCTTTTTCGGAAAGTATACTTTTTTGTAATACTTTGAGGAACAAGGAAAGGCGTATATCCTTTGGTCACAATATTCAATGTGGCATAGTGCCACATTATAAAATGAATACCAATAAGTTACATTACTTGGATTCTTTGGATAAGTATGCAGTTGTATAAAAAGTATAATGTGCAACATGTGGGGAAAAGTAGGTTTCTCACTCGTGTGTTTGCATCACTCGCCCTTCAGGCTCGTGTCACAAACTTTCACACTCGTGAGAAAAGTTGAACTTTCCCCACTTGTTGCACAATATACTATCTCTTACCTGCCTCTTGTTATTCGTTAACGGAGTAGAAAAATCAAGTTTCCTAGCAACGAATATCAAAGAAATGTCAAGCATTTGAAGAAAATATAGTTAGAAGAGTTATTTCCTTCACTGCCGGCTATCTTGGAATTTACGGCGAACGAACGTTGAAGAACTCTTTCCTTCTCGTTTACCCTGGAGTTGCTCAACAGTAGTATTGGTAGTAGGATTTTTCGCTTCATTCTCATTTTCTGAGCTCTGTGATAAAGTTAAATTTGCTTCTCATACAGAAAGGCAAAATGTGAGCTCTGCACTTATTGAATGAAATGAATGAAATGAAAATTTATTCACCTTGATAAACATACAAAGTACAAAAGGTAAATCACAAATAGGAACATTGTTTCATACACAAATACTACATTAAAATAAAAACTATATATAAAAAGTGTGTGTAACTATTATGAATAAATATGATCATTGATTAAAACTAAACACGTGCTGTTTGGCTATTATTAAAAAATTCTTTCACAGAATAAAAAGACTTTTGTTGGAAAAATGTTTTCACGCCATTCTTAAATGAACTGTAGGTGGGTTTTGATTTGGTGTCATCTGGTAGAGCATTATAGAAGATGAAGCAATTGTAAACGGGAGATTTTCGAAAGGTACCTATACTTGATTTGTAAGTAGGTACTCGGAGGCTTTTGGTTCTTGTGTTGTAATCATGGATATCAGACTGTTGTTGGAAGTTAATTAGGTATTTTCTGGTAAAATTGACACACTTCATGATGTAAATAGATGGTATTGTTGATATTCCATATTTTTTGAATATTTCTCGACAACTTGCACGATATTTCAAATCGAAAATCAGTCTTACTATTCTCGTTTGCGATACTAAAACTCTGTTTAAATCATTAGCACTTCCCCAAGATATTATATTGTGTGTAAGATGACAGTAAGCAAATGCATAGTAAAGGTTCATTAGAGTTTCTTTGTTGAGATAAGATTTCATTTGTAAAATTCCATAGAAAGCTTAAATAAGTTTATCGCATACATGATTGATATGATGATCAAAGCTCAAATCAGAGTCGAGCCAAGTACCTAAAAGTTTAGCATGTGTTGTAAAAGGGAAAAGAAACTTTTCTTTGATCGAATTGAGCAACGTTTTATGAAGGTGAAAATTCACACATACTGTTTTCTCTTTGTTGAGAATTAAAGAGTTTTTGTGACACCAAATTTCCATTTCTTCACATATTTGCTAGTCAATCAGCTGCCTGATTCCCTTGACGCCTTGGAACCCACATGAGCGAAAATTGATGCTAATACTTATTCATCACAAAATAGGCAATTCTGATAGTTCGAATAGTTCATCAGTTTTTTATCAAAATGTTCAGAGAATACCCTATAGCATTTGGAATTATTGTATCGCAATTATAACAACTCCAGCGTACAGAATTCTAATTTTTTTGTCCCCCACCCCACAGAATACAAAAACAAAACAATGACCTATTTATTCGTTTTAGAGCATTGATGAATAAAGGTTGATATGATCCAAATTATATAAGTTGAAAGGATGAACATGAGTGTGGCGTGTGGCAACTATACGACTAAAACACGTCTCCAAGTCCGAGCGCTCTTACAGCCGTTCATCCTTTTTCATAATGACGAAATTAACATGGGCTCGATAAGAAATTTGATGCTCTTCCAGTATGTGCATGATGCTCTGTCTCTGAGTCATACGTAAAATATGAATTATCTGCGGAAACCGACTATAGAAACGTTATTTTTTTAAAGGTACCCAAATTTGGTGAATTTTCCACTGGCTCTATCTCCGCACCCCTCAGTCCTACATTCATAAGCAGGGATAATTTTATCTAGGAAATTTCATCTACTTCAACTTTTTATAGGGCGGTCTTTTCGATATAATGTATGATTTCCGAGGTACGGGCAAAAATCCGAAAAAAGTGCGAAAATTTCGCTGTTTTTTGCTAATATCTCGGAACGCTCCAGGAAATTTTGTTTGCAAAATTCAGATTTGGATTCAGCACCTCCAATAACATATAAAACCACAGAGAAACCGACTACTTGAATTTTTTCCCGGATTGGGTCCTAATCGTAACCGTTTTACTGAGCTACAACTCTGATCTCACGTTTCGATGTTTTGGATCATTGGATTGCATTTATTACGCAAAAATGGAACATCAATCCATATTGAAGAAAAAAACATAATTACATAATAGACAAGAGACACGCATTTTTATCTTAGTGATTTACGGGTTGAATCTTCATATTTTGAGGATTTTATATTCGAAATATTTCCAATTATTAATGAAACTGCACCGTGTAAATAAAATGCAATATTTTCTGAATGGATTTGTTCCTAAGATTTAAAATGTTTATTGGAAGAAATAGATGCGAAATTTCCATTCAGCTGTAACAAGAAATCAGTTCCATCAGTTCCAATAACAGCTGATGTTGAAGCTACCCTATCATCACCCTATCATCATCCTTGATTTGGGCATGCGCTCTCAAGGTATACAGGGTGAATATCATTATTTTAATGCACATCAGAATCAAAATACTTGTGTAGCTTCATGTTCAACTTGAAAATATCTCGAAATATTTATTTTTATATCTATATAGTGCGCGAAATGCTACTTTGGTGATCGAGAACAGATTTTTTTAACGAGTCGCAGCCGAGTTAAAAAATTATTCGAGATGACCAAATAAGTATTATACGCGCACGAGTTGCAAACAATATTTTTTCTACAAACGTCAAAAAATATAGTTCAGCGAAGTAATGATATGCTGGGCTTAAAATAAAACATAGTGTTGAACTGGCAGAAGGCCTCTTCCTATCCTTCCTAGGTACGCACGATGTTCCACGAACATTATAGGAATTTACTTTCGTGCGGTCCAAGAGATAAGAAAAAAATATTGTTAAACATTCATAAATAAATGATTTCTTATACTTACACATACAATGCGCGAAGTATGTATACTTTTCCTACCTGATATTCGTAAAATTTAGCCAAGCCAAAATCAAAAACTTGACACGAACATTTGAATACGTTTGGAAATCAAAATGCGCTTAGATTTTATTAGGCCCGGATGGTCTCGATAATAA